GGCAGGGCGGCGCGCTCATCAACTCATTTCAAGCAAACTTGTCCTGAAGAGCTCGAACGAGGAGGAGGAGGAGGAGGAGGAGGAGGAGGAGGAGGAGGAGGAGGAGAAGGAGGAGGAGGAGGAGGGCTCGAGCGCGGAGCTAGCGGGCGCCCGCGGGCGCCGCGACGCGGACCTCAGGGGCGCCGCCGCGTGGCCGCGGCGCCAGCTGGCGCGGCGGCTGGGGAGCCTCGCGGGGGCCTCGGCGGCCTGCGAGCTCCCGCTGCCCTGAGGGCGAGGTCGGCGAAGCTGGGCTCTCCTCCTCCATGCTGGTCGGGACGGCGGCGGCAAGCGAGAGGACCTTGTGCTCCTCCGTCGTCCATTTCGTCGGCGCCGCGTCTCCTGGGCCCGTCTGGCTCAGGACCTCGCCCAGGCTGCTTGGTGATCCCGTCGTGGCTGCGACCCCGTCCTCTGCGACGGTAGCCCCGTCAACCTGGCGCGAAACTGATCAACTCTCTTGGCTCCAAGCTTCGCCTCGCTTGGGTGGCCGCCACCTAGGGAGCCGAGGACCCTGGTCCGCTCTCACTACGGGCCCGCTCTGGCGTGCCTCCCGCAGCCCCTCCTGAGCTGATGGTGGCGGCCACTCCTATCCTCTCGTCATCGCCTCCTTCCCGTCGCCACGGGAGCCGCGGACCTAGTCCTGCTCTCACTGCTGGCCCACGCTGGCGGGCCGCCTGCAGCCACTCTTGTGTCGGTGGCAACTGGGCGTTCTTCGTTGGGGACCGACTCCTCGTCCTGCGAGGTCCCCAGTCTTGGTGGCCCCCGCATGGGTGCTGAACTTTAGCCTGCAGCTCTGGTGAATTCGGTCAGCTGGGGCACGTTGGAGGGCTCGCTCTCCTGGCCTCCTCCACGACCACCAGCTGAACGCCCTCTCTGCAACTCGTGTGTTTCCTGGCTGCTTGTCGCTTCGTCCCCCCAGGAACTCCTGTTGCGCGGTCCGTGGTGTTCGAGTAAGAACACACTCCAGGGGCAGACGCTGGGGGGACGAGTGGGCCCTTGGCTCTCTGGGGTGCCGCGTGGCTCCCAGCTGCGCATGAGTGCGGCGAGGCCTCTTGGGTGCCCTCGAAGGTCGTTCAACGTGGTTCTTCGTGCCCCGTGTGGTGCTGTCAGGTGCGGGCGGACCAGGTCGGCTGGCACCCTCTGGCAGGGGATGTGCGTCTTGCTGAGCAATGAGTGCCTCCTGTCCCGTGCTGCCTGGAGCTGGTGGCTCAGGTCGGCTGGTACCCTCTGGCGGGGGCGTGCTCGACCGCTGAGCAGTGCATACCTCCTGGCTCTCGGTGCCGGCGTCTCCGAGGTCGGGGCCAAGCCCTCTGCCGAAGCTGCCTCTGTCGCCCGCCGTGGGCCACAATCCTCCCTGGAGCCGGCGTAAGCACTTTAGCCGGGGGGAGGAAGAGGAGGATGAGGAGGGGGGGATGAGGAATGAGGAGGAGCAGAATCATGCTCAGCATGATGGGGAGCAGGATGACCAGGGGGAGGAGGATACCATGCAGGGAGCACTGGCAGAGAGGAGCGACTCGGATCCAGAAATGTGGCCCGAGCTGGGGCGAGAACGCAATTAGGAGCCAAGCTGCAAAACGCCCATCATGTAATGCGGCGCGCGCTGCAGCGGAAGTGTCCTTTCTGGAAAACCGCCGCCGTCCGTATGTCAACACAACACATGTCGGAAGCCAACTCGAAACTGTCTTGTAAGCACATAGCAGCACTTATGCGAGACACGCAGGCGCAATAATATGGAAGCGTGTAGTGGCCTTCACGTGTGGCGATTGTGGCCGTGACCGTGGCTTCCGAAACACTCGAAATAGGTAATCAATTCCAAGAAGGGGGGGCGGCCGAGCGATATGGTTAGCACCGCGGCGCATTCATTCGCGAGAGGGCGCCATGGGGAATCCGACGGGAGACTTCAATGGAGAACTCCCGTGGGGAAGTCTCGGAGAGAGAAGCCTCCTATGGGGATTCCGACGAAGGAGTCCAATGGAGACCTCCTATGAGGGATTCCCATGGCGGAGACCTAGAACCCTATTTGAATCATATCATAATCCGATTGGGATCTTGCTGGGTTCATGTTGCAAGCCGCTCGGGTTATCGTTGGAATCTGTTTTGGGTCTTGCTAGGGTCCTACTAGGATCTTGGTGGGATCCCGCACCGAGGGTCTGGGGGTGGAAATGTCACTTCCTGGGGCGAGAAGCGAAATGGTTTCGCCGAAAGGGGGGGTCGATAACCGCCTCTTGCGATTAGGGGTGGAGGGGCAGGAGGGAAAAGGGGCAGGAGGGAGAAGAGGCAGGAAGAGGAAGAGGACGATGACGAGGAGGAGGAGGAGGAGGAGAAAGGTTCGTGGAGGACGAGGAGGGGCAGGAGGAGCGAGCAAAGGGAACAAACATAACAAGTATCTTATTTCGGGCGATCCCCACCGAAACCTTGAGCGTTTGTTGCCGACGGCGCGCGGTCGCCTAATTTGTCGACAAGTACCGCTTCCGCGTTCAAAAACGGTTCAAACGCCTTCCATGTAGTCACGTTCTCTCATGCCATGCTCTATTATGTCCTGTTCTGCTCTCGACAGGCCATCGTGACGACGTGACGACGTCTGTGACGTTAGACGCGTCGTCTGTTCAGTTCCTCTTCACTTATATGTTTCTCGTATGACTGCGTATGGTTTGCTAGATTCATCTCTGCGACCATATGTTTTGAATTGTTATGGTATGATCGGGTAGGTGACACTATATTATGACATGGTCTGGTATGCCAAAAAAGTTAACTATACTATGATATGTTCAGCGATGCTGTTGACAACTCTGTCCAGTATAGTCTATTATGATATACTCTGCTAGTGTGTTTCAATATGCCTTGCTGTCGTGTTATGATATGTCCTATGATGCTGTGTAATGATATGACATGGCATGTTTTGCCATGGGGAGTTGCATACTGTTCGGTTCTGTTATATTATGTTGTGTTCTGACGTCGTCTGCTCTGTCATGCTCTGCTCTGGTATGTTATGTTTGTTGAGGGCTCGGCTCTGTATATTATATGATGATGCGCTCTGCTAACATGTGTCGCTATGCTCTGCTGTCGTGTTAAGATATTTGCTGTGATGCTGTGCCATGATATGATACGTTCTGTAAACATGCCTTCTGCTATGCTCGGTTATGTTATGGTACGTTGTGCTACGTCGCCTTCTGCCCTGTCATCTTCTGCGCTTGTATGTTGTATGATGTTCTGTCATGCTCTAATATGTCATGACCTTGCTATGCTATGCTCTGTCATCTTCTGTCCTGCTCGTAATATATTCTGCCATGTTCTGTTTCGTCATGTTGCGTTCTGCCATGTTCGTCGTCGCTGTGCTCTGCTGTCGTATTCTGCTATGTTCCGTGATGCTGTGTCATGATATGAACTGCTATGTCAAGGTGTGTTATGTTACGCTCGGCTCTGATATGTTGTGTTGTGCTCTGTCGTCTTCTGTTCTGTCAGGTCCTGCTCTGGCATGTCGTGTGATGTGATGGTGTGATTTGTTTTGTCATGACATTGTTATGTTCTGTTCTGCCATGGTCTGTCATGCTCGTCTTCTTCTCTGTCATGTTCTGTTGTGCCATGTTCTGTTCTGTCGTGTTCGTCGAGGGCGCGAGGCTGCACCCGGGACTCTCGGGGATCATCGGGACACCTTGGGGTCTGGCTGCCGCGGTATGCAAGGTGGGGTTGGCCCGGCGCGAGGCGGGATACCCGGGACCCTCGGGGACCATCGGGACAACTTTGGGTCTGGCGGCCGCGGTATGCAGGGTGGTGTTGGCCGCGGGGTCCGTTTTTGAAGTCTAGTAATCCCAACCTGAGGAGAAAGGAGAGAGGGGGAAGAGGGGAGAGGGGAAAAAAAGGAGGATGAGGAAAGAAAGGAGAGAGGAAGGAGAAAGGAAGGAGGAAGGGAGGAGAGAAGGAGGAAGGGGAAAGAAAAAAGGGGGAGGAAGGAGAGAGGGGGATCAGAAAGGGGTGTTGGGGTGCGCCGACAATGGGGAGGTTGTGGACTGGTGCAGGCGGTCAAATAATGGAGGAGGAGGAGGAGGAGGAGGAGGGGGGAGGAGGAGGAGGAGGAGGGGGAGGAGGAGGAGGAGGAGGAGTGGCATGGAACTGGTGGTGCACCGCCGCGCACTGCCGCCGAGGGCGAAACCGTGCGCTCCCGGAGCGGGCTGGGGGGCACCCCGTCCCCCTGGGCGGCGGCGAGCGGATGCTCTGGGGCCGATTCCTCCTCCTCCCCCTCCTCCTCCTCCTCCTCCTCCTCCTCCTCCTCCTCCTCCTCCCTCCTCCTCCTCCTCCTCCTCCTCCTCTCCTCCTCCTCCTCCTCCTCCTCCTCCTCCGCCCCCTCCCCCCCCCGGGGCCAGTGACTCCCCGACGCTGCTCCCGAGCGGCGGGAAGGATGGACGGGTACCCCAGATTTCGTAGTAAAAGGGAGGGGGTCACAACCCTCCCAGACGAGAAGTCTTAGACCCCCCCAGACCATCCATGAAAGGGCGGCCTTTTGCCCAGACCCCCCCGAACCCTCCAAGACAGCTCAAATCAGACCCCCCCCCCCCCCCAAATGTGACCCCCCCACTTTATTTTGGAATCTGGAATACATTTGGATGTCCCTCGTCGGCGCGGCGAGCGGCATCCCGGAAACTGCTGCTCCGCGCGGGTTCCTCCCGCGACTGGTTTCACCGCAGTGAGGACGGAGTAAACGAGCTCCTGTGAGAATGGAGGAAGAGGATGCGGATGATCACGAGAAGGATGCGGATGCTTATGGGGAGGACGAACTCCCCTCCCAGACATCTGCGGCGCGATCGATCGAAGTGGACGAGCAGGGATGAGCGGGGAGGGCGAAGAGGAGCAGGGCCGCGAAAGCCTTGACCAACCCTGTTCGACTCCTTCTCTGGACACCGACAACACCGCAACCATCCTTCCACCTTCTGCTTCTCCCGATGGCGATCGAGAAAGGGCGGCTCGGCGGTCGTCGAGCCACTTCACCAGCTTGCCGTGGTCCCACTGAGACTTGCGGGACACGCCCTGCGCAAAGAGCGGCCGCGCCCACGGACCGCGATAGGTTTTCGTACCCCTCTTTCTCTGTCTCTCTCTCTCTCTCTTCGCTGTATGTCGATCTGTTTTGTCTCCATCTCTCTCTCTCTCTCTCCCTTCTCCCTATCTCTAGATAATACGTTCTGTCCTGGCATATTGTAGCTTCACCCCTCTCCCTCTCCCTCTGTCGCTGCCGGCATACCCGTCCTCGCGCCCTTCGGCACGCAACGGGAGATTGACCACACCAGGCGCTGTCTGGCGAGGAGGAGTCTGCCGTGTTCTGCGCATGTCCCTTCCTGGCAACGTCCCGTTGCTTGCGTCAGCGCCATTCGGGAGCGGCCAAGAGGGGGGTGTCCAAGAGGGGGGGTGCAAATCATGACCGGCGGCATGTGCGCGGCCCAGCGGGGGGGCCAGGGACGTAATGAAATAAGAAGAGGCGCCATGAAATCTGGGGAAATATCATGGCCCCCGCCATGATATCCACCCCCCCCTAGTCATCACCCCCCTCTTCTCCGCCCCCGAGCCATCCTGATGCCCGCCAAGGCTCCCGGGACGGCCCGCCCGCCGTCTCTCTCCACGGCATCGCGCTCCCGTTCCGACGCTGGCGCCCAGCCGCTGCCAGCCGCCCAGGCCCCGCGCGGGTCCGCCCGCCAAGGCGGGCCGACGCCGACAGTTGTTCCGAGAGGGGCGCAGGGGTGTGTGGGCTGGTGAGAATGAAGGAGCCCACGGACACACAAATAAATACACACAAATAAAATAACCCCCCACATTCTCCCATATTTTCGGGGTTTCTGTCTTCCTGCCCACTTCCCATATTTCCTTATATTTTCGGGGAAATCGAGGATTCATTGTGTCTGTGTGTTTCTTTTCCTCCCGAGAGAAGCGCAGCCGAGGTCTTGCAGGGTGACCCTCCTGGGGGATCGAGGAGGGGCCGGCGGGCCCGCCGGCCCGAGTGCAGGGACGAGCCTCTCTGGAACAGAAGCCCTCCGGAGAGCGCTCTGGGGCATTCTGGAGGAAAAGAAACACACACAGACACAATGAATCCTCGATTTCCCAGAAAATATAGGAAAATATGGGAAGTGGGCAGGAAGACAGAAACCCCGAAAATATGGGAGAATATGGAGGGTTATTTTATTTGTGTGTATTTATTTGTGTGTCCTTGGGCCCCTTCAGACATGGAGCTTGGCCACCCGACGAGGAGGCGAGTCGAGGCGAGGCGAGGGCGCGAAACGTCCCCGGGGGGACGGGCCACTGGCGGCCGGTGCTGAAGGGCCGTGGCCCTCAAGTTGTGCCTACATTCTTGTCGCCGTCCACCTCATCGCTGATGTGCTTGCTCATCTTCCGCTCTTCCTTTTTCTGCTAGATGCTCTGCAATCGTTGCTTGCTGGTGCAACCCTGACATCGTTCAGCTCGTATGCGGGCCGCTTTACGTAACTGCCGATTGTCATCAGGGTCTCGACGATGCCACGATGCCACGACGGTGGGTTGTCGTCCATCTCCACTGCGCCGTCCTCCTTGTCATCATTATGCTGCTCGCCCCCTTCCTTCTCCTCCTTGGTGTCGCCGTCGGAGTCGTCGTACTCGTTCGTCTCCTTCATGGCCTCGTCTCTCACGTCTTGGCTCGAGACATCCTTCTCGGCAGAACCATCGAAACCGATGCACTTCCTGACGCTGGGGCACGGGTCGCTGCCCATCCCAATTTTCAACGGCGGCTCTTCCACATCAGGCTTAAAATGTGTGGCGACTGGCCGACAAGGCTGAAGGAGTCCAAGGACACACACACACATAAATACACACACATAAAAACATTCCCCATATTTTACTATATTTTCTGGGTTTCTGTCTTCCCCCCCACTTCCCATATTTTCCCATATTTTCTTGGGAATCGAGAATTTATTGTGTCTGTGTTTTTTTCCCCTCCTGAAAGGCATCCGCTACGAGACCTCTGCGTCGAGCTTCGCAGCAAAAAGTCTTCTGGAAAGAGGCCTGCAGCACCAGTGTCTCGATGCCGCTGGCTCTCTGCGTGCGGGCGGCGCCGCGCTGGCCGAGGCGCGAGAAGTTCACGCTCTCTCTTGCCTCTGAGTCTCCTCTCGTCGTTTCCGATGAGCATGAAGGGGCCCCAGGACACACAAACAAATACACACAAATAAAACTATTCCCCATATTCGCCGGCCCAACGGGCCAGAGGCGTGCTAAGATCTCCGGTAACTGCTCTACAATGTTTCTACTTCGCGCGCGCGGGGCGGCCCCTGGGGGTCCCCAGACGAAAAATACCCCGACCAGGTCCCGGCCGGTCCCCGGCCGGGTCCCCCCGAGCGCTCCACGAGCGCACCAACAGGGCTCCGAAAACGTCCCCGAGGACCCAAACAAAACCAAGAGGCCCGCAAGAGGTCCCCAAGATGGTACACGAGGCGTCCGAGATGCCACAAGATCGCTCCAAGACGCCCAAGATGGCCCCCAGACGCTCCAAGAGGTCTCCAAGCGTACTCCCAAGAGGGCCCCAAGAGGCAAAATTCATTGCTTTTCCTTAGGTTTTGGACATATTTTGGCTTTTCCACCTTTTCCGCTTCCCGAAGCCCCAAGACAGCCCAAGACGACTCCAAGATCGCCCCAAGAGGGCTTAAGAGGCCCCCAAGAGAGCCCCAAGACGGCCCAAGAGGGCTCCAAGACGGCCCAAGAGGTCTCCAAGACGGCCCAAGAGGGCCCCAAGAACGCCCCAAGAGGGGGAACACGAAACAACATTTCCAGCCCTCGGCCCCAAGAAGCCCCCGGGAGGTCCCAAGAGGCCCCTACGAGGCCCCAAGAGACCCCCCAGAGGCTCTCAGGAAGCTCCCAAGAAGCCCCCAAGCGGCCCCAGGAGGCCCCCAAAATGCCCCCCCGAGCACGCGAGCAAGCGCCAGCGATGCTACAATATGGGCCGGCGGAATGAGCGAAGCGATTGAATAAAACTATTCCCCATATCTTCCCATATCTTCTGGGTTTCTGTCTTCCCCCCCACTTCCCATATCTTCCCGTATTTTCCTGGGAGTCGACGATTAATTGTGTCTGTGTGTGTTTTTTCCCCTCCTGAGAGCATTGGGCCCAGATGTCAACGCCTCCAGCCTCTCCAACAGTGCGACCCAACGCTCGTCGGTACTGGCCTCTCGCCGCCTCCTTCTTGGCACGATACGGCGGCCTCCGGCCTGTTCATCGCGTCGCTGCCCGCAAGAGGCGCGGAGGTCCCCGCACCGCCTCGCCGACCCTGGCCGGGCCGACCCCGGGCCCGGGGTCAGGTCGGGCCTGTCCCCCTACAGGCGGACTTTGGAGGAAAAACCCAAAATACTCAAACATATTCGAAACATGCTAAGCAGAAATACTAAAACGCCGACCCTGTCGGCGTGTGTGAGGGGCTTGTCCGTGCAAGTCGTCATCTCCGTCACTCGTTGGTCGTCGTTTCAGTCGTCTCCTTTCCCTGCCTCCCCCTTTCCCTGGGCTCGTCGAAGCTCCCCCCTTTCCCAGTGACCTCCTCAGCGCACCAGCCAAAGCGAAGTTCAGCAACGTCGTAATTGAGTCGAAGGGAAGCCCTGTCTTTCGATCCCTCCCCCGCCAGGGGGGGGGGGGTCCACGGGGGGGGTCCCGGGGGGGTGGGTCAGATACGACGCCCCCACGGGAAGTCCCGAAGCCCCAAAAAGCCCCAAGACGGGCCAAGCCTCAAGATGCCCCAAAGACAGTCCAAGGGAACCCCGAATCGCAGAACGATCTGTCCAAGACGCCTAAACGGCCTCCAGACGGCCAAAGAGTCCCAAGAGGCCTGCAAAGCGCCCCAAGAGGCATCCAGGAGCTTTCCCACGAGAGCCCCAAGAGGCAAAATTCATGGATTTTCAATATTTTTACAGATTTTGGCGTTCTTGCCTCTTCCGCTTCCCGACGCGCCAAGACGGCCCAAGAGGCCCCCAATATCGTCCCAAGACCGCCCAAGTGGCCCTCAAGAGGGTCCCCTAACGGCCGAAGAGGGCCCCAAGACGGCCCCCCAGAGGCCTTAGCGCTCGGAAGAGACCCCCAAACGCACCCCTGAGGACTCAACACACATCAGCGTCGTCGTCGCTCCCCTTCAGGGACGGGACCCAGAGCTCAAAACAAGCCTCTGGACCAGCGAAGACTGCCCCGAGACGCCTTCAAGACAGTTCAAGAAAACGTTGAATCGCCGAACGATTTGTGCAAGACACCTCCGCAGCCTCTGGACGGCTCCATCGGCCTGCAAGGCGGCGCAAAATGCCTCCAGGCGCTATCACACGAAGGCCCAAACAAGCAAAATCCTTCGACCCTCGTCCGTTTTCCACAGATTCTTGCGTTCTCGTTTTTTTCGCCCTTCGAAGCTCCCAGACAAGCCCACAGGCCCCCAAGATCGCCCCGAGACGCCCCAAGAAGCCTCCAACAGAGTCCTAAACTTCCTCCACCTCCCACTCATCCTCTGCCCCCTGCCCCCCCCTCGTTTTCATCTTCGTCGACCTCAGGGTCGGCGGCACCGGCCGTAAGGCCTTCGCAATATTCCAAAAATGCTAAACAAAAATACCAAACAAATCGTCCCCAGACTACTGTTTGTCATTTTTTGAATACTCCCCTCGGGGGTGGACAGACCTCCCTTTAGTAAAACGTGGTTCAGTGAAACGACCTGAGGCCCAAACCTGGCGGGCGCAAGCCTGGAAAATAACGGCCACGGCGCCCTCTCGAGAACCGAAAACGGACAATTCACTAATCGACGTGTCAGGATAGGAGGTTTGTTCACCCCCGACAATTTTTGAATACTCCCCCTGTAGAAGGGGCAGGCCCGGCTGCAGCCCAAGGTCGGCGTGTGCGCCTCCCGGACGCAGCCCGCCGGGCCGGCGCACGCCTCCCGGGCACGGCAGGGGCTCTCGGCGCCAGGGCCGGCGAGGTGGCCAAGCGGCGCCGCCCGCGAGGGAGAGCGGCGATGGGGGAGCGAGGCGGGAGCCGACGGCCGACGGCGCGCGGCTCGGCACCTCGAGGGCGCGTGCCCCCCCCCGGGGGCACGGCCGTTCTGCAGCCCGTGCTGCGGCGCGCGGCCCCCTGCCTCCTCCGCGTCCCTCCTTCGCTCGCTTGTTCCTCACCTTCTCCTCCTCCGACTCCTCCGGCTCCTCCGATGCCTCCGCCCCGAGGCGAGGCGGCCTCCGGCACTGCAGGGTCGAGGCCCTTCCTTGCCCGGGGGGGGAGGGCAGGCACAGCCGCAGGAGCACAGGCTCTCAGGGAGGCCTGCGCAGGCTTCCTGTGGGTCGGCGCCGCGCCCCCTCTCCCCTCGGCGCGCACGGGCGCGCCGAGGAAAGAGAGAGATGACGAGGCGAGGGTCGGTCTGGCTCACCCGGCCGCGCCCGGCACTGCCTTGTTCCGTCGCGCCCCCGCCCGCTCCCGGGAGGATCTGGGGCGGCAGGAGGGGGGGAGACGGGACTGGACGGGGGAGCGGCAGGTGTGGAGGGGGAAGATGCGCAAAGGGGGGAAGGGGAGGAGGAATGGGAGACGAGGGGGGGGGGGCGGAAAGGGAGGGAATTGAGGAGGAGCAAAAGCAGCATGCGATTCTGAGCGAGTCGAGGGTGCTCTCTTGCCCGGCCGTTGCGCATGCGTGGCTTGGTGGAGTTCCTGATGCGTTCCGAGGAGGGGGAGAATGAAGAGGTGGCCCTGCTGCGCCCTGTTGGCTCGTCTCGAGGCCAGCAGTTACTGCACACTCTTCCTCGCCCCCTCTTATAATTCGCCTCATCCTCCAACTCCCCTCCTCCAACTTCTCAGCATCCTTTTCCTCCTTCCTCCTCATCCCTTCTCCCAAGTTGCCGCCATGCTGCTGCTGCTGCTGCTGCTGCTGCTGCTGCTGCACCCCCTGCCAAATACCACGGGTCGAACATATTCGTGTTGATTCTCTTCAGGCCCTCTGCACGATGTTGCATCCAAACGCCGTTCATCGTCGAGACCGTTGGCATCTGGGCACATGCATCCGTGTGCTCAGGAATCGGGGTTTAGACTCGAACGCTCAAGGCTGTCTGCCCTACTGGCGCACATGCATGGGCTTTGATCGTGAGCGAGCGTGAGGACGAGGATGCTTCGCAATACATTTCTCCTCCTCCACTCGTCTCTTCTGCTCCTCCGCCTCCTGCCCCTTCTGCAATCATCCTCCCCTCCTCCTTCTCCTCCCCCCTCCTCCTCCTCCTCGTCTTTTTCCTCCTCCTCCTCCTCGTCTTCCTCCTCCTACTCCTACTCTTCCTCCTCTTCCTTCTGAATCCCTTTCCTCCTCTACTCTCTCCTCTTCCCCCTTCTCCGCCTTCCCTGCAACTGCTCCGCCTTGTCCTTCTCCTCCTTTGCCTCCTCGTCATCCTTCCCGTCTCTCTCAACACCCTTCCTCAGAATGGCACTGGCGTCATCCATCGTCGGCGAGGCCCTTCCGGTGACGGTAGTCCCGACGCCATGCTGCTTGCCGCACTCCCACTGGCCCACGTATGACCTGCGATGGCCCCGACGAGAAACAACCCTCGCGCTGAGGCACCCGTCGGCGGATGTTGTCGTCGTCGTTGTCGTCGTCGTCGTCGTTGTCGTCGCCGTCGTCGTCGTTGTCGTCGCCGTCGTCGTCGTCGCCTCCTCCTCCTGCCCCTCCTCCTGCTCCTCCTCCTCCTCCTCCCTTGGCAAGCGGACATCGCAGAAACCTGTCAAACCATCGCTTCGCATCACCTGGCAACAACACCTTCCTTGGGGCACAACGCGCCGTCTTTGGATTGGGTCCCAAGCCTTGACCGGAGGAGCCCTCCTACATCGAATCGCGCACCACGTGCTCTCATCACGAGACAGGTCTTGCGAAGCCTGCTCCCCATTCTTCCCAGAGGACGAGGCGAGGACGGGCGGGGCGGCAAATCCTCGCCCTGGGACGCATCTCCCCAAGCATGCGGAAGTGAGGGGGGAGCTGGGGGGTCAGGGGCAATCAGCTCGCTCGAACATGGCCGAAGGCAATACGAACACCCTGCGAGAATGGGCAACACCTGACCGCAAAAGAGCGGGAAACGCCGCTGTTGTCCATTGGGCTCGTGAGGGATGCTCTGTCGTTCTGGTTTGCCGTGCTGGTCGGTTGTGGTGTTCGTGCACTTGCGCGTGCGTGAAAATCTGTGCATGGTGCCTGCGCGTAAGCGCGCGTCCTTGTGCATGTAAGGGTAAGCGTGCCTCGCTCCAAGTACGCGGCCTCGCCTCCACCTGCTCGCGTACAAGCGCTCGGTGCCCATTCGGAGGGTTCGCCTTCTCGCGCCCTGCTTCCACCTCCCAGCTTGCTGGAACACCTCTTCCTGCTGCGCGGCTGCGGGAGGGCTCCTAGGGCCCACGCACCGGGCAGCCGTGTGATGGACGTACATTTGGCGTTGCCACTGCTGCTGGATCAACGGCCCATAGGCCCTCGCGTAAGATCCGACAACCCTAACGACAAGCCGCCCGTAGGCTCAAGTGCCGCTCGTTGCGCTGCCACCTGTCTTTTCTTCTGTTCGCTGCCCGTTCTTTGCTGTTCTCTCGCCTTCGGCTTCGTGTCTGCTCCGCTCTGCGGCGTTTTTGGCATCTCGGCTCAAAGTGCTGTCTGTAGAAGAAGAACAGCGGCATACATACACTTTTGGCGCTCCGCGCGGATCTTGGCTCTGCGCTGGAGCCCCTCCCTGGCGCGCGGAGCGCGCCAGGGGCGGTACCGGAGGCGCCGCCGCGGGGCCCAACGCGGACCCACGAAATCCGCGCGGAGCGCCAAACATTTATGTTTACGCAATTTGTTTCTTCTTCGAGTCCAGGTCAGGGTGGGTTTGCTCTTTATTCTGTCGCCTTTGCTGGCCCCTGCTGGTGTCGGCGCCTCTTCTGGCTGTGCGCACAACTTCCCCTTTGTCGCCCTCCCTCTGCCTTTCGGCTGCTCTATCGGCGCCCTATTTGCCCGCCTTCTTTCACCACAAACCTCGCATCTGGAAAGAACCGAACTCAATACACCGACGCTCTTTCCGGCCCCGCACTGAAACTCGAACAGAACAATCCGGGTGTAGACGGGATCCTGGTGTATACATTTGCTGTTGTTTCCCCGGGGCAACGGGTGAAAAAGTATACACCATAAGATGCCGACGTCGTCCCCGACCCTCAACAAATCCTGGAATTGAAAAACAGCCCGCCACAGGTTATGTAAATGTTTCAGCTTCCGCCTTTGCAACTCGGCGGTCGGCAGCGTTCGGCTTTGACCGGAACCTTCAGCTATGTTCACGGTTCACGTCCCCTACGCAGGGTGGTCGATTCATGATGAACGAGACCTGCCTGTGTATCTCCTGACCTGCACATTGCCTTTACCCGCGTGCCGGAGGAAGAATGAGCGCGCGTGTCTATTGTGCGCGATGGGTGAGTGCGTGCCTGCGCGTCTGCGTGAGGGGGTACTCGTATCTCCTCCCGCGCATTCGCTCAGCTCTGTCGCTCTGTCCGCTCTTCGCCTCATGTCCCCTGCGGCGTCGCTCCGCTTCGTGTCTTCTCCTCGTCACTGCGCCATGCTTGCTGACCACGCGCCTTTCTCTGTTGCCTCTCTGGTCGGGACTGCTTGTAGCCGCCCTCGAGCGCCCCCTCGCAAGGGTTGCCCTCGCGGAAAGCCAGGCACGTCTTGTCAGGATGCCCCCTTTCCACAGCGCCCTCATGGAAAGCGACCACCTGGCGAGGGGCCGCCAATCTTGTTCGGAGGTTGCCAGAAGGGATCCTGGCCCAAGGTGCCACCGATCTTTCGCTGAAATTTGGACCCTCCCAGGGCCTCGTGGGGGGGGGAGGGGCGGGACGACGAGAGGGTTTGTTGGGGACGGGCCCGAAGCCAAGAGGTCTGTGACCACACAAGATGGGGAACGGCCGAGTCCGACTCCTCTCCACGGGGGGGCCGACTGCCGCATCGAAGGCTCGCCTCGGGCCCCCACCTGAGGCAGGTACTGGCCATCGCTCGGACGTCCATTCCCTGTTTTTTTCGGTTTCGTGCGTGGTTTTTTCGCCAAATGATCAAGGATGCTCCTCGATGGTCCTCGCCGACGGAAAAATGCACACGTCCGAGCGATGCCGAGGGTAGATCTGACTCTTCGAGGCCGAAGGAATCCGAAACTTGCCCTCGGGAGGCGCAGCCTGGTATAGAGGAGGTGGAGTAGCAGGCGGAGGAAGACGACCGCGGGAGCGGGAAGGCTGGCCGAGAAGGACGACGCTCGTGGAGAACGCGCGCCCACTCCTCTCTCGGGACTCCTCCGGAACCGGAGGCCTCTGGACGGCCAAAGAAAGGGCCAACCGTGCCCGAACACCTCGATCCTCGATCGCCACCTCGGCACTGCCCCTTCCTCTCGCGCGACAGTCCGCATGGGCCCCGGGACATCTTCAAAGGTCCTCAAGAGACCAGACTAATTAGCAAAACAACAAAACAACTCGATGCTCGATCGCCACCTCACTGGTGCCCACCCACCCACTCACGACAGTCCAATCCGTTAGGGCCCCCTGACGCCTCCACAGGCCTCATGCCGGCCAAACATGTTCAAGCACTGCAAGCCTCAGTGCCGCCTCAACACTGCTTCCCGCCCGCGACCGTCCGTCGGGCCACGTGAGCTTCCCCTCTCCGTGCTTCTTGCCGTCCCGAAACTGTCCTTCGTACCTCCGGCCTGCGGGCGGAGGAGGGAAGGAGACGCAGCAGGAGCAACAGGGGAGAAGAGAAGACATAGAAGGAGGAGGCGAGATAGACGGGAGGACTATGAAGGAGAGGAAGCTTTAGCAAAAAGACGAAGCGAACAGAGAGTAGCCAAAAGAAGGAAGACAGAAGGCAGGAGGGGCAAACAATGATCACACAAATTACAAGAAAGGGCACGACGCGCGAAGCACCAGTCGGGACGTGTTCACCACGGAGAGGAGACGAATCCACGTCTGGACTGCTTCGCAGTTCGAAGGACGGCTGTGTTGCCCAAGGACCAACTCACGATACACCAAATAAACCAAGTCACGATACGTCACAGAACCCGATGTCCCCTACCCATGTGATACATAATCTCTTCTGCAATAATCCCCCTTCATTCCCCACCAGGGCTCACGCCCTAGCCAATGACCGATTTCATATCAGAGGGCGGCGAACGTTCATTCATTGTCACTGGGCGCGTGGCTGAACTGAGGTTCAGCGGTGCCGATTCTTAATGTTGTTGTTGCTGTTGCTGTTGCGGCTGCTGTTGTTGTTCACTCATTTCTAAAGAATACATATTGCTGATATCCGGAAAAGGTCTCGCACGCTCTCGCCTCGACGCTGGCTACATTTCCTTTGAAAACGATGCTCCCGCTCGAGCGTTGGCTTGAGCCTAAATGTGGGCCCTTGGAGGCCCAGCTACGACAACAACGGCTCCCGCTCTTCCTCGCAATTTACCCCGAGACACCCTGGCCAGAGAGACCCCCGAACTCAGGGACGGCGCTCTCGCTCGAGACGTCATCGTAATTCAACTCAGTTGTCGGAAGCCCAGCCACGAGGACAAGGGCTCCTGCTCGATACTTCCTCACGGTTTACTCCGAAAGCCCCTGGCCAAGAAAGCCCCTGAACGCAAGAACGACGCTCTCGCTTGAGACTTTCCCGTGAGTCAGGCGGGTTGGAGGCCCGGACACGGCGACAAGGGCTCCCGTTCGATATCTCTCCATAGGTATTCCGAGAGCCCCTGGCCAGAGAGGCCCCCGAATTCAGGAACTGCGCTCTCGCCCGAGACTTCTTCGCACTTCAATCAGTGGCCGACAACGAAGAGATTCCCCCCGAAAACGAAATGCACTCGAAGACGAAATGGGCGGGTATCGAGGGTTGGGGTATACGGAATGCAAGACACGCGTGCCAATAAGAGCGAACAGTCTTAAAATGATGTTTGTTGAATGTTAAATACTAAATAATTATTCTTGTTGGACCCCTTGCAAACGCCCTGGCGCTCTTGCCGAGGCGCCAGCTACATTTTCATTGAAAATGAGGCTCGCGCTCGAGCGATTTGGGGGGCCGCCAAAACCGGCCCCCCAAGAACAACAACGCTCCCGCTCGAGACTTCCTCCTTTTTTACTCAGGGCTGGTGTTCTTGCTCGCCGCCGAAAGCCGCCGTCCCAACAAAACCAGCGCTCCCGCTCGAGACTTCCTCCCGTTTTACCTTGGACTGGCGCGCTAGTCTTTCTCTCATCGGCGCCGCCCGCCCCCAGCAACAACAACGCTCTCGCTCGAGGCTTCCTCCGTTTTTTACTCAAGGCGGTGTTGTTCCTCGCCGCCGACAACATCCGCCCAAACAAAACCAGCGCTCCCGCCCGAGACCTCCTTCCGTTTTACGCTGGATTGACGCCCAATTCTCTTTTGAATTGGCGCCGCTCCCAGCAAAAACAATGCTCCCGCTCGAGATTTCCTCTCCCCCGTCCCGACACAACCATGGCTCGGCTCCCGCTCGATGCTTCTCCCTTTCTTACTCAAGGCGATGTTCCTCCTCGCCGCCGAAAACCGCCGCCCCGACAAAACCAGCGCTCCCGCCCGAGACTTCCTTCCGTTTTACGCTGGGCTGGCGCCCAACTCTCTTTTGAATTGGCACCGCTCCCAGCAAGCACAACGCTCCCGCTCGAGATTTCCTCTCTTTCTCCTCGGGACGGTGCTGTTCCTCGCCGCCGACAACCCCCGTCCCGACACAACCACAGCTCCCGCTCGATGCTTCCTCCTTTCTTTCTCAAGGCGGTGTTTCTCCTCGCCGCCGAACGCCGCCGTCCCAACAAAACCAATGTTCCCGCTCGAGACTTCCTTCCGTTTTATGCTGGACTAGCGCCCTACTCTCTTCAGCATTGGCGCCGCTCCCAGCAACAACAGCAACCCTGCTCGAGACTTCCTCCTATTCTATTCAGGGCTTGCCCCACCGCCGACAGCCCCCATCCCCTACCAAGACCACCCAGTCGTTCGATATTTCCTTGTGCTTTACCTTTCGCTGGGGTTCCACTGGATGTCTCGCATCGGCGCAGCAAGGCGCGGGCACGTGTTTTCGAGGTGGGATATGCTGGAAACCCTCGGAGGAGGTGCTTGCAAGACGTCATTGGGCGGGAGATCTGGGAATGGGAATAACGGACCCCGCTAAAGAACAACTTTCACCTATGATGTGGATGGTTCTCCTGATGGTCGCGTGCTTCGTGTGGAAACAGCGCGCATTAGGGTGAAATCATTGTTGTTGTGAGGTCTTCATTTCTAATGTAAAACTGTTGGTCCCCCCTCTGGTAACCATTGTATGTTTCAGTTGAAGTGCTTCTCCAGGGGTCTGCACCTTTCAAAAAACAAATGGAAATGCAAAGTCACCGTGCTGGGCACCTGGCCCAGGGTTCACAACAACAGCGGCTCCCGCCTGATATTTGCTCACAAGGTATTCCCAAATCGTGATCTCGCGCGGGACGTCATCACAATTTATACAGGAATCGCGCTCTCGCGCGGGACGTCCCCGCGATTTATTCAGACGCCGCGCCCTCGACACTCAGGAATCACACTACCTTTATTGATTTTCAGACGGTTTATTTGGGAATCGCGCTATCGCATGCAGGACGCACGCTTCAGCCACCCGCCAGCTCGACATGGCCGCCTGGGCCCGCCTTCCCGACCCGCCCGTTGGGGTCTACCCGTCTGATTTGCCCGTTTGGTTCTGCCACGTGTTTTCTGCTCCTGGCCCCCTCCTGCTGCTCTCTCTCGTGCGCCATTTTCTTCCTTCCCCTTGTCCCTTCTTTCCATCCGTCCTCTCTTCCCCTGTCATAAGGGCTGCACGAAATATACGTTGCAGGTGAGAAAAATGTGTATCCCCGAGAGGGTACAATCGAAGACGAAAAAGGCGGGCATCGAAGGTTTGGGATCTACGTGTTGAATGGCCCGCGATCAGATCAGAACGAATAATCTTAAAATTCGTTGTATTGTTGTTGTTGTTGTTGCTGTTGAACATTATTACTTCTAAAGAATAATTATTGTTGGGGCCCCTGGTGCACGACCCCCCCGCCGCGCCTAGGCCGCAGCCACGTTTTCATCATTTTCGTGAGGAAGTCTCAAGCAAAACGGGTTGGTCCGGATCCGGTTGTGTTGTTACGATCGGTTTCCCTTGCAGAAAATGAGCTAAAGTGGACATTTCTTGTTCTAACATATCCAAACTTCAAGAATCCCTTGCAAAAAATACGGTAAAGTGGACATTCGCGCGCGCAAGACGAAATCCTTCCAAAACCTTAGTTTTCGTAGCGACTTTAACATAAAAACATAAAAAAACCAATGGTTTCTCAAACAAAAAAATTGTCAAAATTTCATCCCGCGCGCTCTTGCGGATTCGTAGGAAACCCAACACTTTTTAAACATTTCTGTCAAACGGGCTTTTGCGAGCAACTTTTTCGAACTTCTGCAACAACGGTTGCGCACCTGCCAGGGCCATCATCCCTGTCAAATAATACCATGCGGGACACATTCGTTTTTTCTTCGCGCGCGCACGCCGTCGTCGTCGGCCGCGGGGCCCTGAATAGTAGCCACGGTCGTCCGCATGCCACGAAGTGAAGTGTCCGAACGTCATAGGGCGGGAAGCTGGGTGTGGGTGGTGGCGAAGAGTCGTTTGGAAATTTGGTAGAGCTTGAACCGGCCCCCCCACAAAGTGGGGGTATTGCCCGCCTCCTATGAAAACCCTGGCACTGGTGAGAACGGAGTGTCCCCACGTGCTAGTAATTGTTGTTGTTGTTGGTTGTTGTTGCTGTTGTTGTTGTTGTTGCTAGTGTTGGTGTTGGTGTTGGTGGTTGTTGTTCTTAGTGGTGTTGCTGTTGCTGTTGAATACCCATTTCGAAAAAAATGATTAGTGTTGATCTCGCCCAGCTACGACAACAACGGCTCCCGCTCGATACTTCCTCGCAATTTGCCCCGAAACACCCTGGCCAGGGAGGCCCCCGAACTCAGGAACAACGTTCTCGCTCGAGACTTCCTCGCAATTAAATTAAGTTGGCGGAGGCCCAGTCACGACGACAAGGGCTCCTTCTCGATACTTCCTCACGGTTTATTCCGAAAGCCCCTCGCCAGAGAGGCCCCCGAACTCAAGAACGGCGCTCTCCCTCGAAACTTTCCCATGATTCAGGCGAGTTGGTGGAGGCCCGGACACGGCGACAAGGACTCTCGTTCGATATTTCTTCATAGGTATTCCGAGAGCCCCTGGCCAGAGAAGCCCCCGAACTCAGGAACGGCTCTCTCGCTCGAGGATTATTCGCACTTCAGTCAGTGGCCGACAAGGAAGGGATTCCCCCCGAAAGGGGATGCACTCGAAGACGAAATGGGCGGGTATCGAGGGTTGGGGTATACGGAATGCAAGACACGCGTGCCAATAAGAGCGAACAATCTGAAAATGATTGTTGTTGTTGTTGTCGTGGTTGTTGCTATTGCTGTTGCTGTTGCTGTTGCTGTTGTTGCTGTTGTTGTTGTTGTATTTGTTGTTTGCTGTCGTCGTCTCCCCCGAGGCTGGGCCCGCGACCCACACGCGACCCACCCTCTAAACCCGGCCCGCGACCGACCCGCAACCCAACCGCGACACACCCCGCGACCTGCCCGCGACCCACCCGTGATCCACCCGCGACTCACCCGTGACCTACCAACGACCCACCCGCGACCCGGCCCGCGACCCACCCGTTACACACCCGTTACACACCAAAGACCCATCCGCGACCCAGCCCGCGACCTACCCACGACTCACCCGCGACCCACCAGCGGCCCACCCCGCGACCCAACCACATTCCTTTAACAAAAAAAGTCGGCGCCTACGGCGAGCTCGATGTATAATTTGTAAAAATAAGACGCATGCGGCGGGCTTCTTCAGAGCCTCGCAGGCTGCCAACGTCCGCGCCGCCTCCTCACTCTTACCCGCAACTGCGGGGTGCTACGGTATCACAGAAATCCAAATCAAAATGCCACGACGGGCCAAGACGGACCCAACGGGCTCACAAACAGCCCCACCTGGGCTCAAGACGGTCCAAGATGGCCTCAAGGTGGCCTCCAGACGGCCCAGGAGACTCTCAAGACGCTTCAGGAGCCTGCCTTTCAATAGAACCCCTATGAGGGTCTTATTAACATGCCAAAATCATGGTTTCCCCGCAGGTGCTCGGAGAAAAATATGGTCTCGCCTTTCCGAGCCTGAAGACGCCAAAAACGGCTCAAGAGGCCCGCAACATCGCCACAACCTGGCCCAAGAGGGTCCCAAGACAACGCAAGAGGATCCCCAAACGGCTCAAGAAGCCCGCAACACGACCCCAGAGGCTTCCAAGAGGGCACCCCAGAAGAACCAAAAGGGGGGGCCGAAAAAAAGGGCCCGAATAAGCCCCCCAAAACAACCCCAAGACAATACGGAAATCGATTGGCATCTCCTAGCTCATCCTGCCATCGACATGGCCCATATAAGAAAGACCACACACCTACGTATAGGTTGGCGTCTCGGAGACTTCGCTGACTTCGAAATGTTGGGATGGGTAGGTATGGATGGATGGGTACATCACTGGCAGAATCAGACCAGCTAGCAAAATGGCTTCGTCAAGTCAGTCCAGCAGACATGCTCCTGCAAACTCATTTGGTTGCTCTCGGTACAACAATTCTTTGGGTAGGCCCATGCAAAGCCTCGATGTACAGCCCCCCTAATACCAAAGCGTTTGGTCTCCCTGAGAGAACGAGTCATCTCTGGGGCAAGGTTCGACTGAACAAATCGACATCGGCAACGCCTCGGACTAGATCTGAGAAACAGTTGCTGGCCGGTGAAGCTGCCGCTGTTGAGTTCGTCCCCACGAAGCGAAGGTCAAGACTCCTACCCTTCTCATCCTGTCGTTTTCCCCTGTATCCCCTCATCTCTGCCGTCCTCTTGGCTCCCTTCTGACCTCTGCGCCCTCTTCGCCAGCCTCTCCCCTGCTTTCCTCCGCCCCGGCTGCCTCTTTCGCTGCTGCCTGATTCCTGCTTTCTTTTTGTTCGTTCCATTCCTTCGCCTGCCAGAAAGCAGGGGGTTGTAGTGCCATCGGTCCAGATCATGATGCCGAAGGGGCCCATATTGTTCCGCTGCCACTGCCCCTGGTACTTGCTGCCTGGCAAGAAACTGTTCAAGGGAAGGGCAGTGGAGTCGGACACGGCGTCGCGGGATGAGGAATAGCAAGTAGCACGAGGAGGATGTGCTGGCGAATCTCTGCCACATTATACACCAGTTTTGCATGCATCCGCTGGCGGCGCCAACGCAGTTATTTTCTTCTCTTGGGGGGAGAGGAGGTGCGCCTCAATGGCCGAAGCGTCCCGCCTTCAATCATCGTCGTCATCATTGTCATTATCACCATCACCATCATCATCGACATCCTCATCATCGAAGAGAAGGCCCTGCGGCTGCTGGTAAAGAAATCATCTTACAAAAGGCAACCTCTCTCATCCTCATCGTCCTCCCGCTTCTGAGCAGACAGAAGGCGACCGTCTTCCGAACGGCATGGACCCTCTTCAGAGGGACGTGGCCAAGGATGCGACCACACTAGAAGAACAAACAACGGCATAAACATAAACTGTCGAAGGTCTTCGCGGGTCTCTTGGATCTGCGCCAAGCCCCACTCCCTGGCGCGCGGAGCGCGCCAGGGGCGGCGCCGGAGGCGCCGCCAGTGGGGTCCCAACGCGGGTCCAAGAAATCCGCGCGGACCGTCGAAAATTTCTGTTGATGCCATTTTTTGTTCTTAGAGTCTTAGACACACTTTGACGGTGAGTCGGTGAGTCGGCGACGCGGGGCCAGAGAGGAGCAAACTCTGGTCGCGCCACTTCGCGGATGCATTTACGACGCGCGCGGTGCAGTCTCGAAGCCCGACTCGGTGCGATTCAGGGAAGCTGGAAGCTGGGATTTGAGCGAATGGGTCACCTGACGCCTGACGGCGCGCTTCGTGGGACGCCCGCTCATCTTCGCGCTCTAGTGCCGCCCACGTGGAACAGATCAGCCTTTGGGCCGGGTCTCTCATTGGCGAAGTGCAATTCTCTTCGCACCCCGAAGGCGACCTAGTTTAGCGAATCGGATGTTCCGCCGCTTGCAACTCTCCAGCCAGACCGCGAACCACGAAGCGAGATTACTTCCGCACTCCCTCCCGAGGCCGCTCTGGCCCATCGAATCGAATGTCGCGCCAGCTCAGTAGAGAAAGGCAACTCTCTGGCCCAGACTGTGATCCTCTAGGCGCGGTCATCTTCGCGCTTGCGCCGTGCTTCCATGGTATCGGCAAACGTCGTTTGGAAAACTGTGACTCTCACCTTCGAATGCTCTTCTCCCGCGGAAACATTCAAATCATCATACGTTGGGCCCAGAAGAACACATCCTCGACGATTCGTGTCCGCAAGTGGGAAGACAACACATACGGATGACAACACCTCCCCTCCGCGTCCTTCGCTTGGGATCCCAATCGGACCAGCGAACATGCTACACATTCAAAACACATTATCGTTATGGCGCTTCCTGTCATCCGCCAACGTTCGGCCTGGAGCGCACCAACACCGTGAAACTTTGAATCATCTTAGCCTATGTTCAAGCTCGGCCTGCACCAACTGTTTAAACTTGTCGTTCCTCGAAACGTCTCCCCGTTGTCCAACAACACTCAACCAGACTCGACCAAGAACCATGTGTCATGTCGACTATCTGGAAATGGTGAACGAGGCCGCCCTGTGTATCTACCGTGCATGTTTCTCGAAAACGCTTCCCGTCCCCAAGTGGGGCCCAAGCCCAATCTCACTCATCCATACAGAGAATTACAATTCATAAAAAAAGTCTACGCCGAAGGCGCTTCCGTTCATCCGCCAAAATGTATCATTCGCGTTGGGCGCCTGAGAACGCCTGATAGCTCTCACTTACAGTGTATGTTTTTTTCTCTGGCCTGACCCCCTCCCTCGGCGCAGCCCTCGTCAGACAAATGCTCATCCTGCCCAAGCGCTCTTCTCAATTACTAGATCGCTTCAAAACAGACCGACCCCAAAAAACTACAACTTTGCGCTTGACCGTGTGGAGAACGAGACAGCCACGCGGGCAGAAACCAGACTACCCTAACTGCCGTATCGCGATGCTTCGGTGAGCTGGGTCCGGCCAGAGCTTCGAATGCCCATAGGATGCTTGATAAAACGTATGGCTCACCGAGCCCCCAGACCGACGCGGGCCTCCTCTCCGTCCCTGCCCTTGCCTCCGCCAGCTCACTCCCTTTCTCCCCCTTCGGGGGCTCCCCTCTTTTTGGGGCGCCAAGCTGTGGTCGGCCTTAATAATCAAGCCTAAGGCCGGGCCCTCGGGAGCCACACCCCGGAGGCCCAGAAGGACACCGCCCGCGCGCGCGGCCGCCGCGATGGCTCCGCACGGTGCGCCTGCTCGCCATCGCTCGGGCGTCCATTCCCTGTTTTTTTTTTTTTCTGTTTCGTGCGTGTTTTTTTCGCCAAATGGTCAAGGATGCTCCTCGATGGTCCTCGCCGAAGGAAAAATGCACACGTCCGAGCGATGCCAGGGCCACGGCGACGGCGAGGAAATGGAGGCGGAGGTCGGGCGGTACCTCGAGCACGAGGTCTGCCGCGCCGTCGCGCACGGCGCGTGCTGCGGCGACGACGGCGTCGAGAGCACGCACGGGGAGACCGCGCACGTGGAGGCCGGGGGCCGAGCTCCCCCCCAAAGGGCCCGCGCGGGCCCCTGCCAGGAAGTGCACTGTGTGCCGCCAGCCGGTCCGCCGACCGGGGATGGGGGAGAGGCGGGGCCTCGTGTCCCCCGGGAGATGCCGGCGATTCTTTTGGATCGGGGGCTGGGGCCTCGGAGGTGTCTTCGGCAAGACCCTCGGAAACACAGCGGTCTGGACGGTCGAGGGGGTGGGCGGCGGCACGCTCCGGTCCCTGGGCGATCGTGAACGGGCCTTCTCATGCCGCGAGGCAGGCGGGTGGCTCAGCTCCGACATCGGCTGGGTCACGTACTTGCTGGACCAGGGCGGCGTCACACTCTTCGCAGCCGCCTGGCCCGCGGTCGCTGGCTTGCTGGGGATGTTCCTGCTCACAGGCGTGCTGGCCCTGACCTCCCACAGCTTGAGGACGCTCTTCGCCTCGTGCAGCTGGGTCGCGTGGGTCGTCAGCTCCCCCCCTGATCTTCACCTGTTGCTGTCCGCGCGTGAAGACGTCAATCGAGGTGGAGCTGGGCAAGCTCTTGCCGCAGGCACCCCTTCTGCTGGTGAGCGTCAATGGCAGGGCCCTGCCACCAGGCGCGACGCCACCAAGGACGACATCTGCAAGACCGTCAAGGAGGGGCGGGGGCCTAAAAGGAGCCCCAACGATCTGCTAGTCAGGGGAGGAGGGCCAGAAACGTCCAGGTTGAAGCCGGACCTCTCCGACCCGGAGCTCATCAACAGGGATGGCCTACAGGTGCAGTACACCCGCGCGCGTGGAGGTAGAACCCGAGCGCTGTGGTGGCAGCTCGAGGATCCCGACAGCAAGAGGGTCTCAGGGTTAGGGTTCTGGTCTTAGGGTTCGGGTCTTGGGGATTTGGTCCCAGGGTTAGGGTCTTCGGACCAGGGTCTTACAAGTCTTAGGCTTGGGCTACTAGTGTTCGTGTTCTAGGGTTTGGGCGTTAGGGTCGGAGTCTTTGGGCTAGGGCCTCAGGGTTCGTGTTTCAGGGCTAGGGAATTAGGGTTCGGATCTTAGGGTGCGTGTGTGTAGCAGGGTTAGGTTTTTAAGGTTAGGACGTTCGGGTTAGGATCTTAGGCTTAGGGCCTTAGGGTTAGTCTATTTAAGTTCGGGCCTTCGGGTTAGGGTCTGACAGTGGGGGTCTTAGGGTTCGCGTCTAAGGGCTAGGGCATTCGGTCTAGGGTCTTAGGGTTTAGGAGTAGGGTCTCAGCGATACCGTCTTAGGCTTAGGGCATTCGGGTTAAGGTCTTGAGATCAGGGTATTGAAGTTAGGGTAATAGGGTAAGGTCTTAGGGTTAGGGCATGAAGGTGCGGGTCGCAAGGTTAGGACCTTAGGGTCAGGGTCTTAGGATTAAGGTTTCAGTGGTAGGGTCTCGTGGTCGGGGTCTTAGGTGTAGGGTCTTCGGGTCAAATTCTTAAGGGTGAAATCGTAGTGCTAGGGCATTCTTGCTTAGGTATCCGGGTTCGGGTCTGAAGGCTAGAGCCTTTGGGTTAGAGTGCTAGGATTGGGATTCAATGCTAGGGCATTGGTGTTAGGGCATTAAGGTTAGGGTACTCGGGTTACGGCCATTTGGTTAGGGTATCAGGGTTTGGGTTTTCGGACTAAGGTATCAACGTTAGGGCATGAGGGTTAGGGTCTCAGAGGCAGAGCCTTAGGCTTAGAGGGGTATTCGGGTCAGGGTCTATGGTTGGGGCATGAGGGTTAGCGTCTTAGGTTTCGGCAATTCAGGTTACGGCATTAGGCTTAGGGCCTTAGGATTAGGGCATTAGGGGTAGGATCGTAGGTTTAGGGCCTTATGATCAGGGCTTTCGGTGTAGGATCGTAAAGTTTGGGTATTAGGTTTAGCGTCTTAGGTCTAGGGTCTTCGCTTTAGAATCTCAGGGTTAGCCTCCAAAGGTTCGGGTCTTCGGGTTTGAGTCCTGGGGTGAAGGCGTCGGGCTTAGGGTCTTAAGGTTGGGGTCTCAAGGCTATGCTATTAAAGTTAGGTCTTGAAGTCAGGGTATTGGGCTTACGGTCTTGTGTCTACAGTCTTGGCTTATGGCGTCCGGGTAAGGTTCTGAAGGTTAGGGTCTTAGATTTGGGGTGTTCGGTTTAGGGCCTTAGGGTTGGGGCTTTGGTCTTGAATCAGGGTTGGCATCTTCGGGGTAGGATTGTAGATTTGGGGCATGCGGGTTAGGGTCTTCGGGTCAAGGTCTTTGGGTTCGGGTCTTAGGGTTGCAGATGAGGGTTCGGGTATTGGGGCTAAGGTCCTGGGTCTAGGGTCACTTGCTTAGGGCGTCTGGGTCAGGGTCTTAGGGTCAGGGTCATCGGGTTGGGGCATGCGGGTTCGGGACTTAGGGTAAGGGTCTAAGGGCAAGGACAGAAACATTAGGGTCGTAGGGTCAGGGCATCAAGTTTACGGTCTCAGGGCGACGGTCTCAGGGTTAGGGC